CTACTGTTATTAAACTCTTGAATGAACAAATCAGAGGTCTATTTACCTAGTCTGCCCCCTTGATAACACTATTTGATCAATTCCAGAATCCTTTTTGATAGGTAATTAAAAAAGCTTTTCCTTAGGTATAGAGTGGAATGAACCATTAATTACATTTCGGGGCCCTAGAGATGCAATTCCTTTGCTATTGTGAAATGTCTATAGCAAGCTATGAAAATGCTCACCTCTATAAAAGAACAGAATAAATGAAAGCAATTTCCTCGAGCCCCAGATTTCTCTGCATTTTATGGCTAAAGACTTGAGTTGCCACGGCATTAATACGTTTGTTCTTTAGGGCTGAATTTTCTCAATACAAACATCCATGACCGCAACACAAAGAAATATCTTCTTTGGCTGATAGAGCCAGCAGACTGAATCCATATATTAGTATTATTGTTATCACTGAACTGCCACAATGCACTTGGCATCAAGTTGCACAAAAAAAGATCAGTTAAATTAAAGATCCTCACCAAGCGGCGACAATTTTGTGTAAAAGCCAATTTAGCCATTATGGAAGCTCCAGGATCATATTAACTTTTCTTGAAAGTATGCATAATGCATCACAGCAAGTGGTTTTGACAAGTGTGTGTGTGTGTGTGTGTGTGTGTGTATGTGTCCTGCATGTAAAGAAACCCCAGAAGTTCTTTCAGTGGCAAAGTCAAGCAATAGGAAGTTAGAAAAATGCCAGATTTACAGGTGTTGCACCTGTTTAGTCCAACCCTTTGCTAACCAGCCTCTGCACCAGAAAGAACAGGGGAATTGATGTTATCCTAAGAGACGATGCTTATGTTTGAAAGCATCTGGTTAGTTGACACTTCCCAATTTTCTAGGATGCTAGACTGTAAAACAAACAGCTTTTGTAAGTTTGGGAGCCTTTCCCCCTGCCTTTGAATGACATTCCCTAAGGTTTTGACTTTTTCTACTTTCTTTATTTTGACAAAGTCAAAATCTACTGTCATATGGGGCTGTAGCACCTCTGTCTTCATGCATGACTGGGAAGGATTGAGTCTGATCTTTTGTTACTGGAGCAGAGGCTTATATTTTGTGCTACAGCTGGCAGCAGTGGAGGCTATTACTCCCCCAGCAGAGCAGAAGGACGGCTGGGACAGCATGTCCCAGGTAAACCTGTTCTCTTT